ACATCCTTTTTAATTTAAAATATGGAACACAAAGAAAATGACATCAAATTAAAGAACTGTGGTGCCTCTAATGGCAACATGTGTCAGTGTTCATGGCAGTTGTTTTAGGAAAATTTGTCTGGTTGATTATCCATAGATATGAGGTAGGCTAAAAGTACCGAACGCTAACTACCCCAGTGTCAGTGTCCACTAAAGGTAAACCACAATTGTGCCAGCTTTAAAAAAAAACACACAATGAAGGAATCCTTTTTCTTACCTTTTCTACACCCTTCTTTGTCTCCTCCTCTCTCGCTGGCTGCTATAGGGCCCCTAGGGACGAGTGGGCTGCCGCTCAGAGTCCTGGCACAGGAAGACAGGCCCATATCCTTGGTGATGGCTCTGTGTTTCTGTGGTGACAGGTGTTTCCGCTCAGAGCGGACAGCAGTGTTTGTCAGGAAGTGTTTGGATGGGGTGCAGAGTCCAAACGCAGCTCAAGTGTTGATGGCTGTGAGGGGTGGGTTCAATGAAACAGTGTTAGTGAGTTGTCTGTCTGTCAGTGGCTGTCAGGACGAGAGAGTCAAGTGCCTGTGTGTGTATGCTTGTCTCATGGCTCTGTAGGTGTGTTTTTATGTAGAAATAAGGTTTGCTGCATTTTAAAATAATTTTCCAAAAATGACTGCATGGCTGATGTTGTAGAGACTGCTATCAAAAAGTGACTTATATCTCCCATTAATTTGAGCCTTAGTCCTTCTAAGGTACTTGTATAGACCTTGTCACTGAGCATACAGGCAGCCACTGACATCCCCTTCGAATTCCCGCACTTCACACCTAATTGTCTCACTCTAGTGTTCAGCCTCTCATTGAAACTCTGGCATCACAACACAGCTAGCTGAAAGGAGACGGATCTTTTTTAGATACTTGCCATCTTTGCCTCCAGCTGACTAGCTTCCCATAAGACAAACGGAAAACAAAGAGATGAGCGGCACTCAATAAACTCATAACAATCTCCATTCACTCCTCTTGTGTCTCCGCCATCTTGTGTCTCCCAGCTTCTCTCGATCGTCTCTCTATTGTTTCTCCCTATAGCTAATTGGCAGCAGTGTTTTAATTCTCCTCGTGCCCCCACCCCCTTCTTGTTAAGTGATGAGTTGTTGGCAGGGGATCAAAGGGGAGCGGTGCCCACGGTGCACCATGCCCGTCACTACCTGGTGGCACACATGAGCGTTGGAACCGGCTCTGTGCCAAGGCGCCACAGGCCTGTGCCACAGGGACATGCTGCCAAGAGGCAGAGGTCAGCATGAGTGTGTGTGCATGTTTGTGTGTAAGGATGGGCGAGTTGGGAGGGTGGTGTGTCTCTGTGCACTTCCTAACAGAAGATTCAATTTCACAACTCTCTTTGTGGCTCTCTGTCTGTCTGTCTGCATATCTCTTTCTCACATGCCCCTCTCCCTTCTTGTTGCAGACCAACAGCAGGTTGAAGCAGATTGAGAAGGAGTACAGTCAGAAGCTTGCCAAGTCTGCCCAGGTAATCAGTTTTCTCTTTTACCCTTTTCCCCCTCTTTCATTTTACATTCCGCTTTTTCCTCTGAAATGCTTGAAATGTTGGATAAATGTACTGATGGGAGAGGTGAGGAAAAACACCTCAAAACACACACACACACACACTAGTAAAGACACCTAGCTTCCCATCATGCCCTTAGTGAACAAGAAGGTGCACAAACACACCCCATATCTGGCATGAGATTTGTGCAAGACTGCCTCAAATCTGTGCAGAAAACATAGACTCATTTTTTACAATCAGAACATCTAAAGCTCTTCTGTCTGGTTTTTCTCTTTGCTTTTCTTATTCTCTTTCATTCCTCTGTCCAGATGTGACTGCCTGAAAAACCTTCCTTTGCCACTTGAACACAGTTGTGTGAAGTCAGGTTTTCAGGCGTCATGCTATACTACAGCTACTACTACTACTCTGTATGCCTGGTAGCCTTAGGTAATAATTCATATTTGCAAGTAAAGCTGCACTAATCAATATGTTTATAACAATGAACCAAATATCTTTGTGTTTTTTGAAAGGGGTTGTCATGGGCTAGACAGGTTAAGTATTAAACTTATCAGGTGTTCAAAAAGGCAACTTCAGATTGCTGCTGTTGTTGCTGTGTCTCCTGAATGTCATTCACACATGAAATACACTGCTATGTTGGTCCCCTTACTAGTATCCTTCCTCTCTTGCTTGTCTCTAATAGCTCTTTATTCCATCTCCATACCTGTTTCTCTTCAGACCATGGTATGGTCCAACCCCAGTTGAGGGCCATATGTTTAACCGTATTGCCAGTCCCCTCAGAGTGAATCCATTTAAAACTGACATCATTCTTTTTCTCCACTCTGGAATATAACATCCTGGGACACTTTCTGTCATTCAGCGAGATGTCTTAGAAAGTTCAGGCAGCTTTTACCAGTTTAAAAGATCCAGAGCAGATCCAGAGCACCTTAAGTACTGTTTACATTACAAAAGAAAAGCGTTTTCTCCTTGATTATGTAGCAGGCTAAAATATCACAATCATTTGGCCGTAATTGCACCTCGTTACCCAAAGCTGAGGAAGAGAGGGGGTTTGCTGTTTTTCTTTCTTTCTTCTATTCTTTAAACCCCACCCCCACTTTGGGCTGGCTGGCAAAGGCTCCGAGTTGAAAGCGGGGTTGACAAGCAGATGTTGTGAGAGAACGGTAGCTTATTAGGTTACACAATGCTCAACTTCAAAAGAAGTCGGAAGCTGTGCGAAAGTTCAGCCGTGTTTGCCTGTTTTGGCGGTGCGGTACGCCACCGGCGACAAAGCAACAAGTGATTAATCCTCTGTTTGGGGGACACAAAGTTGGCACAGGTTCAGCAAACAACACTCTCTCTGACATTAATGCAAAGTCTCTGTGTGCTAACATTAATATGCATGATTAATGCAGGCTATTTGTCATGGGATTGGGCAGCTTTGTTTTAGAAGGTAAAGGTGGAACGGAGGGGTTTTTGTTGCCTACCCCTTGGGGCAAGTCAGTCAAATGTAAACAAGAGGCCTTTGAGCCTCAAAGGCTAACCCCAGTTGTTAACCCCTCAATGTCTGACAGGGGACATCACTCTTGCATGGCTAATAACCCAATTAAAAACATACCATGCTATACATGATCCAAAGGGGACTGGAGATACACCATAGAAGGGTATATGTTTATGTGCGTGCACATACACACACCCCTCTCTCTTGCACATTATCTCTTTGCTTTTGTCTCTCTTTCACTGCCTCTCTCATTCACACACACATACACAGACCCTCCTAATTAGTGTCTCTCCAATCCAGTCCTGTGTGTTAAGCATCTGGCTGTGAGTGGTCCTCCTGGGTGACCTGTGAACCGACAGGGCTGTGCTTTTCCCAATTAATGATCAGGCTATTGTGGGTGGTTGCTGTGGTACTAGTGGGAGATCATTACTTTATCCCTGACCATCCAGGGAGTAGGTAAGAGATGGAGAGAGTTTACAGAATACACAGTGCATGAGAAGCCCATGTTCTGGAGGAAAAAGGTTGAATTTACTGGCCGGGTGTGTTGAACACATGCGGAATTTGACTCCCGTACAGTGGCTCTCAATGTGCATGTACGATAAGACTGAGAGAACAAGAAAAGAAAAAGAAGGCGCAAACAAGAAAAAGGAATGTGCAAATATAAATATAAAGCACTTATAAAATACATATGCACACAGTTTAAATGGAGCTCTGTTATACTGTCATGGGTTAAGTGTTCATCAGTGTGATGGCCCAGGGGAAGAAACCGTCCATGTGTCCGGTTGTTTTGGCGTACAGTGGCCTGTAGTGCCGTCCAGAGGGGAGGACTTCAAGCTGTTTGTGTCTGGGGTATGAGGGGTCTGCAGAAATCTTCTCCCCAGTGATTCTTTCTGTAGTCCTGAATGTCCGCTGGAGTCTGTTCCTGTCCAAACCAGACAGTGATGGATGAGCAGAGAACAGACTCGATGATTCCTTTGTAGAACTGTATCAGCCACTCCTGGGGCAGGTTGAGCTTCCTGAGCTGGCGCAGGAAGTACTACAGTGTTGCTGAGTATGCTTTAGGCAGGACGGGGGTCACACCGTCTGTACCTGGTGCCTTTCTGAGCTTTTGTTTTTTAAAAAGGCCGCACACATCCTTTTCACAGATCTTCAGGGGTGGGGGGCTGGGGGAAAGGAGGTGATCATAGGGGAAGCAGCCGCTGGGTCCAAGGTGAGGTGGATGAGGAGTGTGGAGTTCTGCTTTTCAAAACTTCTCAAAAGTAAAACACATTCAGGTCATCTGCCAGGTGATGGTCTTCCACAGCAGGGGGGGGGCTGTAGCCAGTGATGTTCTGTAGGCTTCTTCACACAGACAAGAGGTCACTGGCTAGCCAGTGGTCTCCTAGGTTTTTTTTGCTACAGTGATCTCCCTTGTCCTTGTGTGCCTGGCCTGCCTGTACACGATCCTGTCCCCACTGCGTATGCAAAGAAACCTCATTTATTTTAGCACAGTACCAATATTAAGTTCCACAAACAGTGTTCACATATGCCCTCTTAAACAGGATCTGTTATTGTAGTTGGCATTTAGTTGCTTAAGATTTGTTAGCAGGTATCTATCTAGCTGTTATTTTAGCCAATCAGAAGACTTGAGCCAGGCTGTCACACACATACGTATCTTCATGTTTTCAATGGTGACCATCATTCTATGGCCTTAGGCATTTACCTCTCTGTTTACAAGAAGGCAAATAAAGACCAGATCTGCTCTTTTTTTTTCTTTTTTTACCTCAGGTTCATGGAGAGGCAAGTCTGCCTTTAGCTCTAAACAGAGATGCTAGCAACCTGGAAAAATAGACATCTCGCCAGAGCAATTATAGACTTAAAAAGGCCTGGCTGGCTATCAGACAGAGAAGAAGGTGCTGTGGTGTATAAATACAGGAATAACAAGACAGACAGCTGAGCTGACTAGTATAGAGTGCCGCCACCGCCCCAGGCTGAAGACCAGGAGATGCAAGGAATCCATATCTCAAAATAATTATTACACCCAGAAATGATGTTCCCATAATAATGTGTCATTTGTGGCTTTCATGTGGCTCTCCCACTGACAAAATAAGTCTAATCTCCCTCTCATCCCTCTCTCTCTCTCTCTCTCTCTCTCTCTCTCTCTCTCTCTTATTCTCCCACCCCACCCCACCCCATTTGTGTTTGACCTGTACCACTCTTAACGCCCATACTCCCACACACAGTATTAGGGGCTAGTCCTCCAGAGTTTGAACATGATAAACAATTATCTGTCTAGCCCAAAGCTAGCAGCAGCTAGCCCCCCCTCCCACCTCCTTCTCTCTCTTTCCCCCTCTCTCCCTTCCTCTCCCTTTCTCTTTTACTCTCTCTCATGTTTCCTCTGCCTTTCCCTTTCCCTTAAACAGAATGTTAATTTTGACAGTAGGATTTCAAAGCAGAGGCAGCTCCTTTTCATCTTTGCGTGCACCACAAGTTCACCAACACAAAGTCACTCGGCTCTTCCAAAAGGAAGTTGTTTTTCCTACCTATCTGTTATATATATATATCTTTCTCTCTTTTTTCTTTGCTCTCTCTGGCTTCTGTATTGTCTCAGAAAGGACATAAGACATGAGACTCTGGGTTTCAAGGTGATTGTTACTGTCATCCAAACCATTACAAATGTGAAATGCATTTTCCCTTTGGTATATGTCATTTTGTGAGACAAGTAAAATTAAGTAAGCCAGCATGCACTTTGCATCTGGCAACAGCTTTTCCCTCTGCTGTGACTGTTTTACTGCATCACTTCTTTCAAACATAAGCATAAACGAGTACATATGATTCTCTACTCCACCTATTTGTCATTATGGCAACTCATCTTTTTGTGTGTGTTAGTCTTTTTACACACATGAGGAATAATCCAAATCAAGAATTATGAGTGAACATTCATTTTTTTCCCACCCATAGCGAATCGCAGAGCTACAAACATCTGTATGTGACGCAAAGGAGGAGGCTGTTCGTCTGCAGCAGGCCATGGAGAGGCAGCTAGAGGAGGCCAACTCTCGGTGGGATAAGGAGAGGAGGACAATCACTCACCATGCCGATTCGGCCAACAAGGTCAGTGTTGGGCACTTAGAGACCAATTACCTAATCACTCTTAATAATTGCATTTATCAAAATTGATAATGCGACAGACAAAATTAAAAATAGGTTTGCAATAACCCAACTCCCCCAGAAATCAGAGATTAGATAAGTTGTGTACTAAGTTAATGATCAGGGTTGTGTTGTCTTTTTACCTGAGTGCATGTATGTAAATATACCAGCTCACTCTAAGTGAGGGGAGTAAAACATGAACCACTGGCAACATCTGCACTCCACTTCGGTCACTCTTCAAGCCAGCTACTATTTCATGGGTTTCACCTATCTTCCCATCTCCTGTCTGCATCTCCTATCAGTTTCACATACTGGCTGTCCTTTACACTTTAAAAAGGGGTGCGGGTGTCAGTAAAGACCATCCTCAAAAAAAGCTTTGTATGGATTTGACTTTTATAGAGCAGACACAGGTCTCTTTTCTTTTACTGAAGCACGGTCACAGTTGGTATGCACGTGCTCTGTGATTTTTATGGCTAGCTGCAAACTCCATAGTGTCCTTCAGCGGTTTATGTGCTCTGTGTCTGGCTAAACCTTATAAATCTGTCTGCTGCACCCCACTTCTTAAGTCAGAGTCATTCTTTGTTACAGTTAAACTTTACACTCAAGCAGTTTATTTCTCATTAACATTTTTAAATATATTAAAATATTTATTAGAGATTATAATTGAAAATCATTTCTTTGTTCCTGTCTGACTTTTTCCTTTACCTAAAAATTGACACTAGATTAGTAAAAGTTTTAACTCACCTGTTATGTTCATTTCTCAGGAACAGTAGTGATGTTCCTGGATTAATTTTACCAATATTAACCATTTCAATCACTATTTAGTGCAATGGTGTTGTTTACCTCTCACAGATTATGGTTCAGTGAGGATAATGCACTCGTTTTTCATAAAAAATGCATGTTAAAACTTTTTTAATGTATATTGGAAAGACCTACATATAAAATACATTATTTGTACATGACATTGATTTTTTGCAATCTTTTCTTTTTATGAAGTGATGTTAAATTAACATGAGACACCTCTTCTGTTCAGGGTCAAAATATGTAGATGAAACAATATTTATTCATTCGGTTCTTTTCTCTGATTGTCATCCTCCTCCATGCAGATTCCTCATTTTGGAATCGCAGGATCATTTCTTCTGCCCCAGCAACCACACAGGGACACAGTGGCAGTTGATTGGGTGTGGCTCACTAAATAAAGAGCTGTTGTGTCTGGGATCAGGACAAGTTTCCGAACACAACCTTGTCTGTTTGCGGTTTCAGCTGCCACATACAGTAAGGAGCCAGATCAGTTGGTCTCCCTTTCTGTCTCCTCTCCTTCCAGGGCCTGGTAGCTCATGTCCCCCTTGCTCAGACCTGGGCTTTCTCCTAAAGCAGGCAGCTGGCTCCGAAATGGGTAACCCCAGCCCTGCCCCACACCCCTGAAATGTCTCATCTTTTGTTGCTCTACATACAAGATTGAGAGTAGAGGCTGATGGCGAGTCTGTGGTCCAAATCATTCAGTCCAGATCCCTCACAAAATCATTCTTCTTACCCAAGCTGAGCTAATTTTGGTAAATTTAGTTCTCTTTCAAAGTTTCTCTCTGATCTGACACATTCCTCCTAACAGTATGCACAAGTCATTTTAATAGGACTTGGTGATGCAAAACTAAATGCATGCAGGCACGGTAGAAAATGAGCTGCTAATTTTGTTTACACTTAAGTGACTTAATGAACTCACTATTCAGTCATGAGTAATTTATTTAATACAGTCTTTATATTTTCATCCGACGGAAAGCTTTGTGTATAACACTGAGACAGCAGTTACCTATTCAATCTTTCCTTCCATAGTTACAGTGCATACATTTATTTACACATTCAGTTTTTCATTAATCCAATATTTTCTATCATTTCCATGTTTATTACTATGCTATCGGGGTTTTGTGGAGGCTTAAATGTCACTTTAAAGGAGACTTGCTGACACTGTAGCTGGCTACTCTCGCTCATATTTTAGCTTTGTTGCTTGTAATCTAACTGTAAAATGACACAACACATGCCGTCTCCCCTGTTGTAGGCTGTGTTACAAGGCACAGGCCTTGGCATCTGTGTTGGGAGCAGACAAAGGCTTTCTGTTTCAATGATCTGTGGCCTCATTAGTATGATCCCCCCTGTATTAACCACCTGCAGATGAGACTCCAATTAATTGAAGAATTGCTTATTTAAAGGCCAGACATGAGGGGAAGAAGAGAATTGATAGGAGAGGGGAAACCGGTCAAATAGCAAATGAAGAGAAAATATAAGCTATTAAGATATAAAACAGAGTTGGTGGAAACTTGAAAGCAGATGGAGAGGTGAGGGGTGAGATGGTAAACAGTGAAGGGGAAGAAAGGGTGAGGCAAAGAAAGGATTGAGGAACTGTGTGAGGGTTAGTACAGCAAACAGAAGGACAAGGGAAGAAAGAAAAAAGAAATAGAGAGCTGTCAGTGGGCCATCGGAGGGAGTGTGTCGCCCGCTGACATTGTTTCCATGCTGCTCACTTCAAAGGGCTGGGATTATGAAGAGAGCGAGGGGCTTCAGACAATGGGACAGAAAGAAAATAACATCAAAGTTAGCCCCGCATTTGAATTGGGATAATCCCAAAACAGTTGTTCTGAATGCATGCTGCACCGGATCAGATGTCTGTTTATTTTCCTAGCCGGTCCCATTCTACTGTTTCTAACCTGAATTTAGCTCCTTCTCTGGCTCTACTGTACTTGAGCGACTTTTTAAATGTGGGTGTTAACTGCAGAGACCTTTGTAAAGCCCTTTTTAGAACAAGGGTAGTACAGTTAGCTATGCACATTATCTGGGTTGTGTGTGAGTGCGTGTGTGTGTGTCTATGTGATGTTTAGGTGGAGAAGTGTTTTTTTGGTGTTGTGTGTGGAGCGTGTTATACAATGTCCATGTGTGTGTGTGTTTGTGCACCTGGTATTACTGACACTGTGGTCATTGAAACAGTTAACACACTCACATTGTTGGGACTGGTGACATACACAAAGGGACATGGTGTTGCCACTTCCCTCGACTGTGTAGAAGTGAAGCCAAAATATCATGACTACACCAGCTGCCATCTTGCTTTTTTTAAGCATAAACTTTCAGCATGTTAAGCATAAACTTTATTGCCAAGTATTATCAAAAATGCAAGTAATTTGGCATATCGGGCCAGTGGCCCCCGATGAGCGCAGCAATACAAAACCAAAATCACAAGTAAAAGAACAAATACAAACCATATTCTGCACAGAAGCGACCAGAGGTGGAGAGAGCATCAGGCTGCTAATCAAAGCTGTCAAATCAACTGAAAACCACCTGTTAATATCATCAAATAACTTATTAAAAACAAACTCCTTACCAAGAAAATGACCACTTGTACACACATCCGTGAGATAATATGTGCCAAAAACAATGGCTTCTGGGAAAATTTTATTTGGTTTGTACTTTGAGTTCTTAGCTTGGCTTAGGTCTCATCCACTAACATGGAAGGGGCCAAATGTATGGCCTATACCACAGCCAACCACCAGGGGGTGCTTCGAGGTGGCTTCACTTCTGAAAGCCCTTAGCCTGTCCATGCTTTTTATAGTCAGTGGTGGGGGCCTGATGCTTGATGCATCCCACCATGTAAATCATTGAATTTTAGGGAGACAACTTAGTTTAAGGGTTAGGTGAAGTTATGTTAAGGGTTAGACTTTGGTCAGTGGTTATTGTTAAGGTTAAACTAAGTCTCCTGGAAATTAATGTAAGTCAATATAAAGACTCCACAAGAAATGGAAACAAACTTGGATGTGTGTGTGTGTGTGTGTGTGTGTGTGTGTGTGTGTGTGTGTGTGTGTGTGTGTGTGTGTGTGTGTGTGTGTGTGTGTACAGGCGGGAATGCCTGAGTGTGGCCGCCAGTGTGTTGTCACAGACAGGGACACTGGCTTTGCATTGCTTCTGCCCTACTTAGTTTGAATAGTAAACAGATTAAATATCAAAGTGAGCGTTGCGTACTGTTGCAGACTTCAATCCACATGTTGGTTAGTGCAATGCCCTGGTCCAGATTGAGCAGACAGGCTAGTGAGGCATCAAGTAGCCTTGCTGTTTTGACTTTCTGATGTGAATTTAAAGCCCCATTAGATGTTTTATATTAACATTAAATGTAATTGCTCCTTCTTTAGTGAACAGTCTTTTTATGTGGGGAAACCCAGGTCTGCAGCTTTTAGCCACATATATCTCATTTGTTTCTCTGCAGTTCATGTGCAGTTGTATGGTTGCAAGGTTCAGTAATATGCAAGTGGACTAAATATAAACACATCCATCAGGAACAGGAGGTTGCAGGGTAACACACTGGATAGTAAATAAAAAGCTGGTGTTTTGCAAATTCCCCTCCTGACTTCCTGCCATTGTTTCCTATGCACAATCTCTCGTGCTGCTGTGGTCAGAGTAGGCAGTGGGCCACTATTCCTGATCCAGTTAAATATAGGTCACCAATTATCTCAAAACAGTAGGCAAGGCAGGACTGGGCAGTTTTAATGTACTGGAACAGGGCCAGTGTCAAAGGACTGTGGAAGGTGAAAGCAAGATGAAAGCGTCATATTTGCTTTCATCTGTCCAGTCTGTTCATAACAGGTAAGGGGACTGGGAACCAATATGGAGGAAGACAGTGTAGCCCACTGGGACATAGCAGAATATTCACTTCCTGATGTCGTGTGTTTCTTGGTGAAGCATTTCTATTTGTGGATCGATTTTCTTTTTGATGAGACAGAGGTTTGAGGTGAATGTGAAGTTTAATTGTGTGGTTATAGGGACAACTTGAGTGCATGTTGTGTGTTTGTGGTGCTGTGTGCACAGGCAGGGTTTTTGTCTGTGTAAGCATGTGAATGTGCGAGAGTGTGTCTGTATGAGTGTGCATGTGTACTTGCCTGAAATGTGCAGCTGCCAAATCTGACAGAACTCAAGCCCACATTAGCCTG